GTAGACAGAAGCAGTATTGCGGAAGGTCTGAGTGCTAGGCTAAGGCTATAAGATATTCTTGGATCTACCTGGCGATCTGTGAGGGTTACTAAGGCACTGATAAAGCCAAGGTTGTAAGTGAACTTCCAACATTCATAAGAGAACCCAAGTGCAAGGTGTGGGTGGTTTCACACAAGCTAATCCAACCTCGGGGCCAGCAGAGCAATGGGAGTACCAGTTGCCCTTGAGTCTGTTCCGACTCCTGATGACCCCATGCATGTCAGAGTAGACTGCATTCCATAGAGTCTTCAGTGGCTGTGGTCTTTTGGAAGTAGATCACCAGGGTTTTCTTCCAAGGTGCCTCCGTGGATGGAAGCCGCCAACCTTTCAGGAAGTTGTGTGCTATTAGTGGAGAGTTGGTAGCATCATCTTTTATGTAAAGGAAATTAAAGAATATACCCATGAATGGTGAAAGCCCCTAGACTATGGCCCCATGTCACCCTTTGAGCCTGGGATTAAACTCACTCCTGTGGCTTCCAGCCAAACAATAGGTATATAAGGTGAACATGTACACCAGGTAGGTGTACTCTTTAGAATGATCAACCATGAAAGATCAGAAGGGCAGTATTTGCATAGGAAAGAAGGACACAGGGGAAAGGTAACCACAGGGAAGAAGTAGGAAGAGAGCTGTACATTATGGCAATTGCAATCAATATTATGAAACAAAATGTGTGTGAACTTCTGTGTGGAAAATGAATTTGCTCTGTAAACTTTCACCCAAATCACAATTTAATAATAAACAAATAATGTGCTCATGAATGTGAAGACTATAAAAAGCCAAAAAAGGTGGAAACAGCCCAAGTGTCCATCAACAGATGAATGGATAAACAAAATGCAGTATATCATGCAGTATATCCATACAATGGAATATTCATCCATACAGAGAAATGAAATGCTGATACATGCTGTAACGTGAATGAACCTGGAAAACATGATGCTGAGTGAAAAAAGTCAGGCACAGAAAACAAATACTGCATGACCCCATTCACGTGAAATATCCAGACTAGGCCAATGCACGGAGGTGAAATTTCCTAGTGGTTTCCAGGATGAAGGCAACAGGACATAGAAGTTATTGCTGAAGGGGCACTGAGTTTCTGTTAAGAGTGATGATGGTGTCACCACATGGGGAACATAATTAACTTCACTGAATTGTACACATAAAAATGGTTGAAATGGAGAAGGTTTTGTTAAATATATTCCACTACAATAAAAAAAAAAATCCAAAAATAAATAAAAATATAGACTATAAAGTGGTTAAGACCAGTGATCATGAGAATCATACCTAACTACCTATAGTAGGAATTTAGTATGCTATGGCTACTTACTCATTCTATGATTGAGTGCCTGTCATGTGCCAGATACTACAGTGACCAGATGTCCTGCTGTCATGGTATGCACCTTCTCTGCCTCCTGATCGGGAAGATTCCCATCAGCACCTAAGACTCCATTTCCATACTGTAGTCCATTTGAGATGCCATGACCCTAAACAGAAATGCAGATCTCTCAAGGGTGAAACTGGGCAGCCCTGTGTGAGGACAAACATAGCACTCTCGTTTCCGAGTGAAGATGATCTTACCCCAGTGGGGCTGCAGGGAAACTTAAGATGTGCAGCTTGTCAGGCCTTCGCCTCTAAGTTGGATCAGGAAGAGCAAGATCAAAACCAAGGTGAAGGATTGGCAGTGTGACCCTTGAAGACGGTTCAAGTTAGCCTGGGGTACCCTCTCTGTTTTCCACTCCCAAACTGGGATTGACTTGGGAATTTTCCACAAACGTAGAGAAACTGCTAATCCCTAGCCTGGGTAAGTACTATTTCAAGACAAATCAAGATGGCCTTGCATTGGAAAGAGAGACAGGAAGCAAATGCCCCTGGAGATGTATTTAGACAGGAGAGTTCCTACAACACGGACTGTATGTTCTTAGAACGTGGAGTCAGAGAGGTGGTTTTTGTTTTGTTTTGTTTTGTTTTTTTTCCTCAGAATGCTAAAAGTGGCATGCAGATGAAGGCAACATCCTAAGGATATGCTACTGGTCAATGTTTCTACAAAGAGATGCCTCAAGGTAAGTGAATCAGGCAAGTGTCAAGGGGGAGCAAATTTACTCATACGACCCCAAATCTAAGACTTCTAACCATTTCAAGTTTTAGACGCACTAGCCTCAAATGTCTGAGAATAAATATTTAAAATGTCTCTCAATTAGGAGCTCTGGTAGCATAGTGCCTAAGGCATTTGACTGCTACCCAGAAGGTTGGCAGTTCAAACCCACCAATCACTCTTCCGAAGGAAGATTGGACAATTTACTTCTTCATTTCTTTCTTAACTATAGAAGGATTCACCAATCTTTTTTCTTTTCTTAAACACAATTATAAAGAGATTCATTGGTTTCCAATGACCACACCCCACGCTTCTGTGTCACATACAATGATATTTGGCCACTCATTGTAAATTGGGCCAAATTTTATAGTTATATAAGAAATACAGACATCGCTTCCACTTAGTATGTAGCAAAATGTGCCTGCGTTAGTCAAAGGAATACAAATGCCATGGGCAGGAGGTACAACTTCTGATTTCATGCTGCACAGAACCGCCCCTGGCTGTACAGCTTCCCTTCAAGTTCTGGTTGTTCCTTGAGTTCCCAGAGGCCAGCTCTGCTACTGAGCACTGCACAGTGAGAACTGCTGCTACTCCTGCAGAATGCAAGCTCTCTGATTTGCTTTCTAAACAGTCAAGTTCACGGTTATGAAACGATTGCCTTAATCACACCACAGTGTACAAGTCGGACTTGGAACTGATGGCTGGTGGAGTGGGTCTATCTTCATGAATGTGTGTGTGTGAGGGTGCAAACGAGAATTTCATAGGAACGCCAATAAGTAGAAGAATGGGCACAAGACAGAGGACCTTGGTCCACAGAGGCAGCCCATTTGTTAGCTGCATTCCCACTAAACAAGTGAGCCTGCTGGTCCCTGGGTCTCAGTCTCAGATTCAGATTAAAGTGCACGCTGATGATGACAAAGGGGAGTCCTTCCTTCAGCACCTCAGTTTTTAGCAGTGGTGGAGCTAGAAATTGCCTCCCACCACGGAGGGTCCAAAACAGATTCCATCAATAGCCCCTTCCTCTCACTTACTCCCTGGCCACTTTATCCCCAGCTTATAATTATACAAGACTTTGCCCAGTGAAACATACTCAAAGTGGACAATCAACAAATGGAATTTAGCTGAGGAAGGAAAAGCATGTTTTGAAAAGGAAATGCTATATTTGTTGACATGAAAATTAAGACTGTAAATTAACTTTGTTGTTAGTATTTGGCCAAACTACCTCCATAAACGTAGCTTGGCCATGAATCTGCGGTAATACGTGTGTGAGCTGCTAAGTGGCATATGTTAGAGAACTAGATGGAATAAATTGGCTATTCTGCCAGAAGTAAAGTGTGGTTTTCACATGGCCAATCTGGTCAACTGAACAGAATGCTAAAATAAATCAATAAAAAGCTACTTCAGGTCTGGAATTTTCTAGATTGGCTATTTATTTTATGACTAGGGTTTTTTATTACATTTAGAAATCAATATATTCAATTTTTATTTTTTCACTCAGAGAGTTCAGTAACTTTGAATGCATTTTTGAATATTATATTTTGAGTATGTCTGTTGTTATTGTTGTGGGAGCTCAAGTGGCGTAGTGCCTAAGGCATTTGACTGCTAACCAGAAGGCTGGAGGTTCAAACCCAGCAGCCACTCCTCGGAAGGAAGATTGGGCAATCTACTTCCATAGTGATACTGCCTTGGAAACCCAAGGAGGGGTCACTGTGAGTCGGATTCGACTCAACAGCAGTGAGTTTGGTTTGATTTTGGTTGCTGTTGTTGTGTGCTGTCAAGTCGATTCCAATTCATAGTGACCCTATAGGACAGAATAGAACTGCCACATAGGGTTTCCTAGGCTAGAATCTTTACGAGAGTTCACTAGGTCTTTTTTCCTACAGAGCAGCTGATGGGTTTGAACCACCAACCTTTTGGTTAGCAGCCAAGTGCTTAACCACTAAGCCACCACAGCTCCTTCTGTGTATGTCTGGTGTTCTGTAAAAACTATATTAAGTTTCTACTATAAAATTTGGGTAAGGGTGCAACACAAGATATTATAAAATAATTGATAAACACAGTTTTAAGTATTTATATACAAAGACGAAATCTTGGGCATAGAACAGCATCAGTCCAAAGCCCATTTGTAAAACCCTTTAAGATTAAAAACCTAATAAAGGCATGTATCAAGCACTGCCTGCTTTCTGCATGAATTATTCCCTTGAATTTCATCCCATTACTTTAGATAGACCCCCAAATTAGTTACTGGGGGAAACAAAGGTAGGTGCTAAGTGTTCTTTTAGCCTCATCTATTTTCTGGTCTAAGTAAAACAAGCATCCGATCAAAAACGTCCTACCAGCGCAGCAAAATCTTTATCTGTGTTTTCTGGTGTCACAAAGTGAATCCTACAAGTCTTCCAGACACATGGAAATCTTTCCCTTGTGCTATGAATTCCGAACAAAAGCAGAACCTTCCATTTTTAACAGGCTGCACAAAAATGACTAAAAAGACTTTCTTTTGGCCTCTCTCTGAAGACTATGCCCCAAGGCTTTGCTTGAGAAACTTTCTGAATTGTGACACTGCCCAGTAAAACCCATGCAGTAGACAAAATATCAGATTTCTTTTTCCAGCTGCCCAGATGCCCATCAGTGCCTCTTTCTTCTATCAGTCTTCTGCTATAATTAGGACAGCTTAGGGTTTATCTGGGCCTTTTTTCAAAACCAGATTTCCATCCTGACAGCAGCAGCTGTCATTCACAAGGGTCCTGCTGGTGTTGGGAGACTTAGTCTTGATTTACGTTATGGTACAGCCATCCTGGCTGCAAAGTGGAGGGAAAGAGCACCCGCAAAAGAGCGTTTCTCTTGTTCTTTATCAAAGTGGGGGAGTCTTACCTGTGGAGGCTCGCTCTGGCCTGGGACCTGGCTTGCTTCGCACGGAGTATTAAGCCACCACTCTGCTCCCGTGGCGTTTGTATCTCCTCCTTTGGGGAGCGAGTCTGTTGGCGTTTGAAGGGTTTCTGCTTGTTGCTCTGTGCGGGGTGAAATCGCACATTCTTCTGCATGGAATTGGAGATTAAGATCAGTAGCTTCCGCTCTGGCCCAAGAACTCTCCGTTTGATCTCTCTGGGTTAGCGGGTGGTTAGCAGGTTGTCCGGGATATAGGAGATTAAAGGTGTCTTCCGTTGCACTTTCCTTCAGGTGGGCGTTCCGCTTCTTCGGTTTGCCCTTAATTCCTGGTCGCCTCACCCTGACAGGCTTCTGTGAGCCCTCCGTACTCAATAAGTCCTTTCCCCCCGCTCTCCTCTCAGCCGCAGTCCCCAAGCTCTGGTGTGTCCCTGACTTTTCTAACTCACCAGGCTTCCTCTCCGTTGGTGCTTTATCCATGTTTAGCAGATTGTCACTGGCAGCTTCCTCTTCTGCTTGACGACAGTCTCTGGTTTCTCCTTGAATTCCTGGATAACCATTTTCAGCAGCCCCAGAGGCAGTGGGAAGCTTATATCTTCCCTGGTCTGTCACTGTCAACGTTCCATCCTGGTGAGGGCCCAAAGTAAGGGTCATCCCTGGTTGCAGGGCTGAGGGGCTGTCCGTGGAGGCTTGGCTGCTCCTTACCTCCACTTCTTGGCGTTGTGAGCGAAAACCCCAGAAGCCAGGGGTGACATCCATAGGCTCAGTGTTATCTGACACCTGAGACCAATAGCCCATTTCACTGAGGAAATGCCCACACCCACCCAGGCAACACTCACTGAATTCCAGCTCTTCGTCATCGCTTTCTAATAAAAAAACACAGTCAGTCCCCTGCAGGTGCCTTTGCCAAACTGCATTAGAGTAATCCGTCATAACATCGGAACATTCCAGATACTCCAGGTCATCATCTGAAAACTCCTCGGTGTAGGTTAGAGTTATCTCTGGACAAAGTTCATAATCACTGTCAGAGTCTTCGCTGGAAACCTGGGCAAAGACTTGCTTGTTGACTGGGGCACTGCTACCTGGGTAAACGGGCCCGGCTGCCTGAGACAGCGGCCGACTGGAGCTAATGTATTTCTGAACTTTGGGATATTGATGGCTAGGGTTTAGGTCTTCATCATCAGGGTCCTCATGGTTTAGGGCACCATCCATGGGCCATGACACTTTGGAATGCATTGTCTGGTGCCAGTCTACATCTTGAGTGTTGGGAGTATTACTTGAATTATGGAGAAGAGACCCTTTTGCAAGTTCCTCCGTGTGATTTGGATCATAAACCGCTTGGCTTTTCCTTGTTCCTTTAACATCCAGAGGTTTTTCAGAACTGGAAATATGCATGTCATCACTGGCCAATAATTGGAGTGAGCCTGAACGGTTGGATTTGGGGAGGGAGGAGTCAGCTGACAGGGGAGTGCCCAGGGAGATCCTTTCTTCTTCCTTGTAAGGATGTCCTTTCTCATCCATTTGTCTTGCGCTTTCCGCCTCATAGATCTCTGTTTCATGTTTCCAACCAGTGTCCACGTCATCTTTCCGGTTAGGAGGCAGTTGTGGGTTTTCTGATGAGCACTCGACTTCGATGTGAGCCGAACAGCAGATCATTCCAGAGTGGTTTTTAGCAGTGATTTGGTAGACAGCGGCGTCATGTTTGGTACAGCTAGGATGGAGACAATATACATGTGAGTTTGGCATGTTTCGGTAGTGCCTGCCAACATTTCCCACATTGTGGTGCAAGGAGAAAGGGACCTTAGGTTTTGCTGCATGCTCAAGGAGGTTTGTGGTCACCCTGGAAAAGGGCTTGTGGTCAGAGGCAGCTGGCCCTGGGCTGCAGCTGCCCCTGGTGCACCATTCTGGAACCATCCATCTTTTCCCTAAAAGCATTCCATAATCTTATGCCAAACTAAAAATGCTGAGAATACTTAGATGAATTGGAAAATAGTTTTATATTCTAGTTTCTTCTTTTCTCCTTTTCAGTCATTTTTATATTATGGATTGGGAAAAAAGCATTATTGTCTAGAGTGAGACATTATACACAAGAAGTCTTCTACCACACGGAGTTGAAAGAGCTGAAGCAATAACTCTTTTTAAGACCATGCAAAGAAAGCCTGGGTCTTGCCAGGAGGCTGTTAATAATAATACCATACTAGACTTACATGTAAGGAGCTCTGGTGGCATAGTTGTTAAGGCATTTGGCTGCTAACCAAAAGGTTGATGGTTCCAACCCACCAGCTGCTCTGTAGAAGAAAGATGATGTTGTCTGCTTCTATAAAGATTTACAGCCTTGGCCACCCAATGGGCAATCACTGAATCAGAATTGACTATATGGCAGTGAGTTTGGTTTTTAGGAGGCTTACATGTATGAAGAAAAGGCTGCTTCCTCTTTAATTTATTGTGACTATAAGGAGCTCTGTTGGTGCAGTGCCTAAGACATTTGACTGCCAACCAGAAGGCTGGCAGTTCAAACCCACCAGCCACTCCACAGAAGGAAGACTGGGCAATCTACTTCCGTAAAGATTTCCCACCTTGGAAACGGGGGTCACTGTGAGTCGGAATCCACTCAATGGCAGTGGGTTTGGGTGTTTTATTTTTGGTATGAGGTCTAAACTACAGTCCTGGGAGCCCCACTGGCTGGGAGTCCATGTTCACATACCATCCTGACTAATGTGGTTCCAGTGGAAGAGGCAACTGAGTCCTGAGCCAGGCCAAGACCTGCTCTCCTCACTCCAGGAGGGACAGTGCCCCCCGTGCTACCCCCTTTATTGATCGGAGCCACATGGACTGTGAAGTCCTTTGTGCTTTCCCCCACTCAGACCCTCCGTCTCAGGTTCTCCATCCCAGTGATAACTTGCCACATTTGCTTCATAATTTGCATTCATTTATCTCAGGTAAACTCATTATCCC